TCCCACCCGTGAGTGGCCTTCGGGCCCTTGGTCTTCCCTCCTCTCCTCCTGTTCACACTCCGTCCCCTCCAGCGTTTGGTCCCACGTTTCCTCCTCCTGACGCCAGTCCGGCGGTCTGGTCTTCTCCTCCACCGCAGTCTCCTCCACCTGTTGTCCCGCACTCTCGTGTCCGTCCCTGTCCTCCGCGTGCTCGTCACTCGTCTCCTGTTCCCGACCTCCGCACGGCCCTCCTTTGTTCGTCTCTTCATCGCCCTCCTCCTGAGTCCGTTCTCCTGTCTTCTCCGTCCACTCTCCCTTCCCCCCCTACTCCTGTCACTGACTACTACCGTGCCGGTTGTCCTGTTGTCCCTCGTGTCCTCGCCACTTTTGTCACCGACTCTCGTTTCCCTCCGTCGTCTGTCTCGGCTCTCACTGCCGCTGTCGCTGAGTTTGCTGCCGCCAGTCGCCTTGACTACACCACCCGTGTGGTGCCAGCTCCTCCCTCCCGTCCTTTAACCGTGGGGGGTGGGTTTGCCCTTCGCTGTGACGTCCTAGAGGACAGAGAGTCTGAGCTGGAATACTGAGCAGCCGCTTCTCCCTCTGTCTGTGCCATGCAGCTATCCCCTGAGGGAGACCCCGACGCCCTTGACATACCGACTCCTCGCACTTACCGCGAGGCAGTGTCAGGGGCGTGGGCCTCACAGTGGAAAGTGGCTATGGCCTCGGAGTTAGCGTCTTGGAGATCCACAGGCACCTACGTCGACGCAGTTCCCCCTCCCAGGGAGAACGTAGTCGATGGCATGTGGCTCTTCAAGGTGAAGCGGCCGCCTGGTTCACCGCCTGTGTTCAAGGCGCGCTACGTGGCTAGGGGTTTCAGTCAGCGTGAGGGAGTTGACTTCTTCCAGACCTTCGCCCCGACCCCGAAGATGACTACTCTTCGGGTGTTACTGCACGTAGCAGCACAGCGAGACTACGAGCTGCACTCCCTTGACTTCTCTACTGCGTTTCTCCAGGGCCGACTACACGAGGAGATCTGGCTGCGCCGCCCTCCTGGCTTCACTGACACCTTCCCACTTGGGACCCAGTGGAGCCTGAGACGGCTAGTCTACGGTCTCCGCCAGTCGCCCCGTGAGTGGCACGACACTGTTCGCTCCACGCTTCGTGACCTTGGGTTTTGTCCTTCCTTTGCCGACCCGTCGCTGTTTGTTCGCACTGGTTCCACTCCTTTCTTTATACTAGTGTACGTCGACGACTTGGTCTTTGCCACAACAGACAGGGCAGCTTTGGCTCAGGTGAAGTCCGAACTGCAGAAGAGACACAAGTGCACTGACCTAGGTGAACTGCAGCGCTACCTTGGCCTGCAGATCACCAGGGACAGAGCCGCTCGCACCATCACACTAACTCACTCACACATGGTGCAGCAGATCCTTCAGCGGTTTGACTTCTAGTTCTCCACCACACAGCCCACACCTCTTGCTGTTGACCATAGACTCACTGGCCCCTTTCCCGACGAGCCTTTTGAGTCCAGTGGTCCCTACGCAGAGCTGGTGGACTGTCTCATGTACCTGATGACTTGTACTCGGCCGGACCTCGCATTTCCCCTCAGCATACTTTCTCGCTTTGTTGCAACTGGGAGACACCGTCCTGTCCACTGCACAGCTGCTGTGAGGGTGGCGAAGTACCTGGCGACTACATCAGGCATGGGGCTTGTGCTTGGAGTGACTCAGCCAGTGGCGTTGACTGGTCACTGCGACTCTTCCTACGCTGACGACGTGGAGACTCAGCGCTCGACTCAGGGTTACTGCTTCAGTCTGGGTGCTGGTGCTGTGTCGTGGAGGTCTACACGGTCGTCGTCTGTGGCTACTTCCAGTGCAGAGGCAGAGATCTACGCTGGTGCCATGGCGGCACAGGAGCTTCGCTGGTTGACCTTCTTGCTCGCCGACCTTGGTGAGCGGCCTCGCTCTGCACCGACCTTGTACGCTGACAACAAGGCCATGATCCTCCTCTGTCGAGAGCCTCGACTGGAGAGCAGAGTGAAGCATATTGACGTGAGGTATTTCCTCCTGCGAGAGCTGCAGCGACGCGGCCAGGCACGCCTGGACTTTGTGGCCTCAGAGGCCAACACTGCAGACGTCTTCACCAAGGCCCTGGCGCTTGGTGACCACCACAGGTTCTGTGTGCAGTTGGGGCTTGTTGAGGTAGACCCTCGGTTGCTGTAGACTTGTTACTTGCTCTGCTTGTTGTGTTTTCCTATATATATCATAGTGAACTCTTGAACTGGCCTTGTGGCCGCTTGCTTGTGCTCAGAATTTGTATGTGTCCTTGAGATCCACCCTGAGCTTGCCTTGCTTCTTGTCTTGACTGGTCTTGTGACCGTTTGTCTGTCTTGCTTGTTTTGATGCCCCTCACTTAGCCTATGGGGGTGTGTCAAATATAATAGTTATAGGCTGTAGTGAGATGCATTCTAGAGGGTACAGATGCTAGGGTTTCCTATTTGTATCCAACACTTCGCTAGTTCATCCATTCCGTTGTTCGCTAACTTTGAGAATGAGTTGCTTTGTTCGTTGCATCATGGCACTGTGAATATGCATGCAAGCACTGCGAATCCAATAGACTTTTTGACATCCTAGACTGAAGGCACCATCACGTGAAAACCATACCCGTGAAACATTTGACCATGTCCACCATATTGCAGTTCAACCATTTGGCAACATGGAATTAAGCTCTCATCAGAGCTCATGCTGCGCCGCTGTTCTGTCTACACTACACGTTCCACATCACCACTTAGGGCTCCACACTGTTCCACTGTGCTTCACATCCTCTCATCTTTCCACAATGCATCGCCTAAACGCCACAGTGAACGAGTGGCGGGTGCAGCTCCAGCGCTCGTCCGTCCGCCCTATCTGCCACTGGCTGATCCAATCACACTCCATCCGCTCCCACCCATCTCCACCTCCCTCCACTGCCTCGCCATTATCTTCACCCTTCGCCAGCTGCTCAGAACTCACTGACTCTGCCTGCAGGTTTCTAGTGTGCCTGTTCGTCTCGCGCTCTCTCGTCAGTTGTGAATTCCCTACCCTGTCCCTGTGCTCCTCGACTTGCTCCTGCTGATGACCTTGGCCTAACCGCTCCAGCTCGCATTGCCCTCCCTCCTGTTCCATTTCATTATCCTGCTTCCACTCCTTGCCCTCCTCCTCTCCCCCCTCTTTCCCCTCGTCCTCCTCTCCCTCCTCTTCCCCCGCATCTGCCTCTTCTTCCTCATCCTCCTCTTCCTCCTCTTCCTCCTCCTCTTCCTCTCTTCTCCGCTTCAGTCTGCCACCACGTCGCCACGTCAGCAAGCCAGGGAAGCGCCACGTCAGCAGGTGATGACCGCAAATGCCGCCCTCCTTCTCCCCCACGAGGATATACTCCCTCACTGACGCCTGCCGCCTCATGGCTGCCGTCCAGTCCACTCCAAGCGGCTGATTGCAAGGGCATGGGAGAGGAAAGAGGGTGGGGAGCAGAGAGAAAGTATTTTGAAGGACACATGCTCACCTTCTCTCTGCTCTCTGCCCCCCACCTTCTCGCACATGCATCAACACATGCATGGGAGAGGGGAGAGGGTGGGGAATACACCGCTGCATCGACACATGGATCGATGTATTCCCTCGCTCATGCCTGCTGTCCAATTTACTCCAAGCAGCTCAGGGGATCGGCACAGGAGGGGGGAGGAGGTAGGGAGCACAGAGAGGGGTACTCACAAGGACCAGGACATATATGTAGAGGTGGCAAACGGAAAAATGTAAGAAACGAGCGACGAAGAAACAACCTCAGTCTGAACGTTGGGCGGCTTGAAAGTAAAAGTGTGAAGAGGAAGCACGACAACAAAAGAGGACCATGAACAAGAAGATGAGGGCTCCTGATGGAATCAGCGGCCTTCATACCCTTGCTGGAAGCCGGGAGGATGCATGCTCACCATCCAGCATGCGATCACAATGTGGGGCTTGTATTCCGCAATGGCTGCTTCCGCATCACACTCTATCACTTCATTCCCTGCCTCCCCACGAGCACACTCCTCCCTCGAAGCACCACTGCCCTCCCTTGGAGCAGCACTATCGGCGCCAACGAGGCTGCAAGTGGCAGCAACACCGCCAGGCAGCCTACGAGGCTTGGCATCAGTGGCGACCACTCTCATCCACAGCCCCTCCAACCTCACCCACTCACCACCAGCACCCCTCGTCTTGTCACCCCACCTGCCATCCTGCCTTCCCGGATTCCCGTTCACCACTTCGGAAGGCTGCTTCTCAACCATACGTTCATCCCCCTCTTCACCCTTCTTGCCCTCTTTTCTCTCGTGCTGTAATTCTCCCTGTTGTTCCCCTTCCTCCCTCACCGTACCCTCCTCCCCCTCCCCTTCTGCGCCCTCCCCTTCTGCACCCTCTCCCTCTGCACCCTCCCCCTCTGCACCTTCCCCCTCTGCGCCCCACTCTCGGAAGCACTGCCGCAGCTTGCAGGCCAGCAGACCATCGCCTGCCCCCACCTGCCTGCCGCACATGGGAGGGGCAGGAAGATGGAGATTGTTGAGGGGCAACGAGACGGACAGATAACAAGAATTGCACGCGAGCGTGGCACCTCATGCTCCCACCTGAGAGAAGGCAACTGAGAGCGAGGAGTGGGTACGGGGCGAAGGATGGGTGGGGAAGGGAGCGGCCAGAAAGACGGGTGTGGTGGGGGGTGTGATGGACGGGTACAGGACCTAACGCAGGGTGGGAATGAAGGAGCAGGCGTTCGGGTGTGAGAATTGAACAAGAAGTTTATAACAAGCTTCATACCATCGCAGAGCAGAGCAGTGCATGGCAGAGCAGTGCAAGAAAGAGCAGAGCATGGCAGTGAAATGCATCAGAAATCTGAGCTTGCTCCAAGGCCAACACCTGCCAGGTGTGCCATTGACAGCAATGCACCTCACCCCCACTACTGCACCTCACCCCCACTACTGCACCTCACCCCCACTACTGCACCTCACCCCCACCACTGATGCTCACCTCCAGCACGGTGAGGAAATTAAGTCCATTCGTGCACCTGTAGTGCCCTGCACGGTCCCTGGGGGGGAACGGGAAGCAAGACAAGGGAGGGGCAATGCATGGAAGGATGTAATTGGCAGTCGAGGGATATGGCATGGGTGCCACAGGGGAGATGGAGGCAGGGAGCAGGAGCATAACTTCTGCAGCTTATGGCAGAAAAAAATAAGATATGATTGATTGCCTTTATGCAATGCAACACGCATACAGATGAAGCATAAGAAGAAGGCGGGAAAGTGTTGGTGAGCCCGGATGTAAGCAGCGAGGGCGAGCAGCATCTCCTGTGTGACCACCTCGTAGTGCACCCTTGCTGCCACGCCCAGCACCGCACAACCCTCGAGCTGCTGCTCATCCTCGTAGTGCACCCTTGCTGCCACGCCCAGCGCCGCACAACCCTCGAGCTGCTGCTCATCCTCGTAGTGCACCCTTGCTGCCACGCCCAGCACCGCACAACCCTCGAGCTGCTGCTCATCCTCGTAGTGCACCCTTGCTGCCACGCCCAGCACCGCACAACCCTCGAGCTGCTGCTCATCCTCGTAGTGCACCCTTGCTGCCACGCCCGGCACCGCACAACCTTCGAGCTGCTGCTCATCCTCGTAGTGCACCCTTGCTGCCACGCCCGGCCCACCGCGCTGCCCTCCCACTCCCACTGCCACAGCTGACATCACTTGCCCTGCTGACGTCACTTCCACTGCACACCCGCCCTCCGTCTGCTCAGAATCTCGCTGTTTCTGCTGCTCCTCACTCTCTCTCCGCCCCTTCTCGCCTGCTCCAGTGGCTGCTTGCCACGTGGCAGGCCAGCTCAGCCTGCCAGCTGTGAAATCCTTCCACTGCTGGCATCCGTGGCACGTGCAGGAGATTACGCCCCCCAGGGTAATCTGAAGTGGCGCATGAGGCAGGGCCGCAGGGGGCACGGAGGAGGGTGCAGGGAGGCATGGAGAGGGGGTGCACGAGAGCGGGGGGAGGGGGAGGAGGGTAAGAGAAGGGGAAAGAGAAGCGGAGAGGGAAGGGGAGGGGAAAAAGAGGGAGCATGCGGGGGGAAGAGAAAGGGGGGGGGGGGGGAAGGGGGGGGGGGGGGAAGGGGGAGGGTGGGGTTGAGCAAGGAGGGCAAGTAGTGGAAGGAAGGGGATGAGGCCAGGCACGGCGGCTGGGGAGGGGGAAAGAGGCTTGAATGGAATGGCGGTGGCTTGCTGGAGAAGCGGGTTGGGTAGGTGAAGCGGAAGTGGACTCGGAGGAAGGGGGAGGGGTAGGTGGAAAGGGGGTGAGAGCAGATGGGGGAATACAAGGGGCCGCGTGCGAGCATCTGTGGGAGGGGTGATGGCAGGGCGGTGGGTAGAGGGGAGCGGGCAGAAACTTGGGGCGAGGAGGGCGAGGACAGCTAGGGAGGGAGGGGTTGAGTTGAAACGGCCGGCCAAGCGACCCTCACTTGCTCCAACTGAAGCTTTGACACCCGTCGTGGTTCAGAGAAGCCGGGTGGAAGGGGGGAAGGGAACGGGAGGAGAGGAGCAGGGCGAGGATGGGGCGGGGAGAGAAGGTGGCTGCGCTCGCCCTTCCAGAGCTGCGCTCGCCCTTCACCGCGGGGAAGTCGGCGGATGTGCGACGGCGGGTGCGCATCGCGCTGACTGTGCTTGTATCAAGCGCACACTCCTGCGTGCTTCTAACGCGGCAGCGCGACACCATCAGTGCGGAAGTATCATCAGCGCAAGCGCACGCGCAAGGCGGGAGTCACCTGCGGGGAGCACGCGGAGCCGTCGAAGAGGCCGAACGCAGCGACGACGTCGCGGAACGCGGGGAGGCCGAGGGACGGCCGGGAGTACGCAGGCCGTCCGCGTCGCGTCGCCGAATACACGCGCGGAGCCGCCATGCACGCAGACATCGAGGCCGCTTGGATGCACGCGGCTTTCAACAAGAGAGGCTCGGGTTCATGAACGCTGCTGTCCCGCGCAAAGGCCCTCGTCGTGACGGCTCCTACATTTCTCCGAAAACGCTGCTGTCGCTGTTGTTGTGAAGGCTCTTCAACGGACAATGAGCGCGATCGACGGCTTGGAGAGAAGATGCGGCGCGGACGGATGAACATGGCCTGTCGGATAGATGAGCGTAGCCCAGTGAGGCTCGGTGACGCTCGGTAAGGGTCGGTGAAACCTGGAGGTTACAATAGCAAAACACTCGATTGCAAAATATGTGAACTTTCCTCATTCTTTATAATGCATTTCTTACGGTAGATGCGAGATATTACAGGAACGAGAAGATCTCAGTTCCCTTTCTTAGACATTCGTCTATTTTACAACTATGTGCAAGTACCGTACAAGGCAAAGACAATATTTTATCTATCAGCATCCAACCAACCATTGTCCCACCTCATCCCATCTCATCAGTCATTAACTATCGTTGGCCCCTGTACACCTCCACCCGCCTGTGCTTGCTCCTCCAGTTTCTCCCACACCCTCCTCGCCATGTGCTCATATGTTGCCACCACTGCCGCCTCTGCCCCACCGCTCCCTGCGTCTGCCCCATCCTCTGCTGCTCCCCCACTTTCTGACACCCCGCCTACAGCTGCCGCACCTTCTGCCACCCCACTGTCTGCCACCCCGCCTTCTCTCCCGCTTGCAGCGGCGGCAGATGCGCCGAGAGCAACGGGGAGGCCGCTGTCAGAGCGACTGCGGATGGACGGCAGCAGAGGCACCTGGGAGAGGGAGAGGGTGGGAAGGAGGAAGGGGGGAAGGGGGGAAGGTGGGGAGAGAGAACAGGGGAAGCGACGACATGATGAGTCGAATAAGATGTTGCGAGTCTATCGCAAGAGGCACGTGGGGCGGAGGTGGGCAGAATGGCACATGGGAGTGTGAGGAGGGAGGACGTGGCATGGCAGTGGCTGCGCGTGCATGAGCACATGGCATGGGGGAAGGCACAAGAGTGAAAGGAACAGGGGGTCCAGGGCAAGTAATAGTGAGTGACAAGAGGGCAGGGGGGTGGGCAGGGATCGAGAAGTTGGAGGGAAAGGCAGATGGAGTGGTGGAGGGGAGGGGGAAGAAGTGGCTTGGAGTGGGATGAAGGGTGTGGGCGCAACGAAGAAGACGGAGGCAAACCAGGCAGGGAAGGGAGGAAACGCAAATGTCTGCCATGAAACCCATGAACCCACGTTTATCAGCAGCCCACCTCTCCCAGCAACCCACCTCTCCCAGCAACCCACCTCTCCCAGCAGCCCACCTCCGCAAGGAACTCGATCCCCAAGTCAGCAGCAGCCTGCCTGGCCCCTCCATGGCCGAAAATGGTGGAGCGGTGGGAGCAGGCCGGGCAGGTGAAGTAACTCATGTTCTCCACCACTCCCAACACCTGCATGTAGGGGCAGTGGCAGTTGCATGGAGGGGCGCACGGAGGGGTGTGGAAGGTGCACAATTGGAGAAGAGATGGTATTTGGAGCCTGCACAGTCTTGAGAGGAGCCGCTGCGCCCCAACTTGACAGAAGGCGAGGTAAAAGCTGACTCCTGCCACATCATGCAACTATCACAGCACCCACCATGCCTCCATCGCAGCACCCACCGACACGTTGACTTGACAGAACATCGTGGCTCCCACTCACACTGACCACCACGCCACAACTCAACCACAGCACCCACCATTGCACCATCCCACCAGCAGAGCACCCACCCCATCGCCCACCATCCAAGAACCCCATCGCTCACCATCCAAGAACCCCATCGCCCACCATCCCACCACCCCATGGCTCACCGGCACATTGACCTGGCGGAACATGGTCACTCCCCGCCGCGCATCCACCAGTGCGAGGTCCTGCGGTGTCGACACCACCACCGCTCCTGGTGGAGGGGACGGGTGGAGGGGAGGACAGGTGGATGGGTGGATGGATAAATGGGTAGATGGGTGGACCGTGGACAAATGGAAGAGTGGGAGGGTGGAGGGTTGCGAGCTACTGAAGCGAATGAACCAGTCGCACTTACCCAGCTCCACCTCCCCGGACGAACCTCCTCACTGCCACGCAATACGGACACCACCAACACACACACCAACCCACCCCCACAGCTTCCTCCTGTGCTGCTGGACTCATACCACTGCATTCCATCCATCGCATCACACCCCATCCTATGCTGTCTACCACTTACCTGAGAGGCGGACCCTCTGGCTCATGCTGAGCTGCACATCCCCCGTGCCGGGCGGCATGTCCACCACGAGCACGTCCAGCCGCCCCCACTCCGTCCCCCTTACAAGCTTCTCCACCGCCGCCATCACCATGGGCCCGCGCCACACGGCCGCCACGTCAGCAGGCATGAGGAAGCCCATGGACATGCAGAGCACACCGTGCGCCTGCAGTGGCAGCATGCGCGCGTTGGGGGAGGGTGACGCCAGCTGGGGGCGGCCGGCGGTGTGCAGGCCGAGCAGGTTGGGCAGCGAGGGGCCGAACACGTCCGCGTCCAACAGCCCCACCTGCAGGCGCATGTGTCGTGAAAGGGCTACTGCTAGGTTCACTGCGGTAGGGAGGGGTGAAGGGAGGGAGTGGCACAGTGCAGGCCGAGCAGGTTGGGCAGTGAGGGGCCGAACACGTCCGCGTCCAACAGCCCCACCTGCAGGCGCATGTGACGGGCGAGAGACACTGCCAGGTTCACTGCGGGGGAAGGGGGAGGGGGGGAATCGGGGGAAGGAGGAAAAGGGGGGGAGGGGGGAGCGAGAGGTGGAGGGAAGGAGGCAGAGGCGAGCAGCCCCACCTGCTACCGCATGTGGCGTGAAAGGACCACTCCTAGATTCACTGTGGGGGAACGGGGAGGGGAAACGGAGTGAGAAGGGGATGGGGGTTCAGGGTTTCGAAATTAGGTTTTGAGGTTCAAGGTATAGGGAGGGAGGTGAATGGAAGGAGTCAGAAGCGAGGAAGAAAGTGGGGGGGGGGGGGGGGGGGGGGGGGGGGGGGGGGGGGAGGGGGAGGAGGGGGGGTGGGGTGGGTGGGGAAGGAGGGACACAGCGGGTTGGGCAGTGAAGGGCCGAAGGCATGGGCGTGGAGCAGAGGCAGTTGAAGGTGCGGGCTATGGGAGCAGCACTGCACAGTTTAGTGCAGGTCACAGGAGATGGGGGACGGGGAGATGGCGGACGGGGAGATGGGGAACGGGGAGATGGGGGACGGGGAGATGGGGGAACGGGGAGATGGGGGACGGGGAGATGGGGGACGGGGAGATGGGGGAACGGGGAGATGGGGGACGGGGAGATGGGGGACGGGGAGATGGGGGACGGGGAGATGGGGGAACGGGGAGATGGGGGACGGGGAGATGGGGGACGGGGAGATGGGGGAACGGGGAGATGGGGGAACGGGGATATGGGGGACGGGGAGATGGGGGACGGGGAGATGGGGGAACGGGGAGATGGGGGACGGGGAGATGGGGGAACGGGGAGATGGGGGACGGGGAGATGGGGGACGGGGAGACGGGGGACGGGGAGAAGGGGGAACGGGGAGATGGGGGACGGGGATATGGGGGACGGGGAGATGGGGGACGGGGAGATGGGGGACGGGGAGATGGGGGAACGAGGAGATGGGGGAACGGGGAGATGGGGAACGGGGAGATGGGGGACGGGGATATGGGGGACGGGGAGATGGGGGACGGGGAGACGGGGAACGGGGAGACGGGGAACGGGGAGACGGGGAACGGGGATATGGGGGACGGGGAGATGGGGAACGGGGAGATGGGGGAACGGTGGGTGAAAGGATATAGGAACGAATCGGGGGAGGGATGATGGAGGCATGGGGGATGGGGGATGGGGAGGGGTAATGGGGAATGGGGGGAAAGGGAGGGGGTTGGGGAAGGAGGTGGGGAGAGGGATAGGGAGGTGACATAAGGGGATGCGGAGTGAGGTGGGGATGGGGAGGGGGAGGGGAGGGTGGGATATCATGTGCGGAGAGGAAGCAGCGTAGGGAATGGCGCTGAGGCGCTGAGGCGGAGAGGCGGAGAGGCTTGAGGCGCACCGGCAGTGGTGGACTTGCCGACGCCGCCTTTCGCGGACGCCACAGCCACGATGTGCTTCACCCCGGGCAGCGATAAACTGTCGCCGCTGCCACTGCGTCTGCTGTTGCTACCGCTTCTGTCGCTGCAGGCGCTGCTTAAAGCCCTGCTTGTGCTGGAGTATTGCCTGGCATCTGAAGTCCAGATACTACCACCAGTGCTGCCTAGCGTGCTGCTGTAGGGTGTATTATGGGGGAAGGCACCGATGCGTATACGCACAGCACTGATGCTGCCTAGCGTGCTGCTGCGGGTAGTACTGCGACGGAAGGCAGGGGCGGGAAAGCGGTCCAGCTTGGGACCGGGATGCGCGTGCGATTCGCGCGGAGGTGACGGCCAGCCATGCGACTCTCGCGAGCCAATCGAAAAGTCACGCGACTCTCTCAGCACAGATCCAAGGGCGGTTTGCCCGCTGAATCGTTGCAGCCAGTCTTCGCCACGGCCGTGCGACGCGACGCTCCGACAGAGGCTCTTGCACTGCCGCAGTGCGAAGCCGCGCGGCATCGTGCCTCCTGGCGAGAGTCGCAGGACGCGTGACAAGAAATAACGGCGCCTTGTCTCAGGGTAAATCTCAATGCAGCTTTGGTGTGTATGTTCCGAAACTGTGGTAATGTACAGAACGCGTGTCTGTGGTTCGGGACAAACCACGAGTGAGTTCTCGACAAGCGTTTGGCGATTTCATTCGGAAGGGGTTTTCATTTTGTCACACTATTTGCAATTTGTGAGATGTTTAGGCTGGGAGTCTAGAGCATGGCGAGGGAAAGGAGAATGGCGAGAAAGAGGGCTAAACTATGGAAAGGTTAGGGGTTATAAGCTACCTTATAAATCCATGTTAACATGTGCAATCCATAACCTCCATTATGTATGGATGAGGTTTGATTGATGGCTACACCCGACACAGCCAGGAATCTCTACAACGAAGATGCTACAGAAAGGGGACAGTCGCAAGAGAGGGAAGCGCTGCCCAGCCCGCTATTTCGGTAGTGAAGAGCGGATCTCCCCATCGCCGCGCACGTTCCGGTGTCGGCGAATGCCTTTCGATCTGCTAGTGGACGACACGAAGGTTGATTGGAAGGCGTTTATTTTTTACACACGTCTCTCTATTCACATAGTTAAACGCGCACCTGCCTCGTTGCACGTAGGGCCCACAACACTTCGCATCGCTTAGCGGGTTGCCAGCACTGGTCGGCCCGAACGAACCTGCGTCGGCCGAAGGCCGGCATGGCGGGGCTAGCTTCGGGATATCGCAAGGTGTCACCCGAAGCGATTCCAGACCTCATTGCGTGGCTCGGCAGGTGCGCTAAACCAAATGTTACCGTTAATTTCATGTGGCGATGGGCCTAGCCTGTGGCCAGCTCTGAGACGAAAATGTAGCGTCGCGAAAAAGAGGGAGTGGGATCGCTGGAGAGGGAGGCTCGCGGAAAGGGATGTGGGATGGTTCGGGCGGGCGCCGGTGGGGCGGGGAGAGGCGAGAGGGGGAGATGAGGTTCCCCCCGCCGTGAGGTGAAGGCGAGAACGCCATCGCGACCACGCCGGCCCGCCTCCCTTCGCTTTTTCCCCTCCCTACCTCCCCCTCTCCTTCCCCCTCCCCGTCCCTCTTCCCGATCCCAGCCCACCTCCCATTCGCTCATCCATCGCCGCGCTCACCCCCACCTCTCGCCTCTCTTCTCCCATCTCTCGCTCCTAGCTCCTCATCCCTCACCCCTCATCCGTCAACCCTCACCCCTCGCTCCTCCAGGTGTCTGGAAGTGTGGCAGGAGCAGCCAAACTCGCCGCTGTGGCGCACGACGTGCTTGACCGCTTCGGCCCGTCTTCCTTCGCTTATCCCCCTCCCCGTCCCTCCCCCTCCCCGCCCTCCACCTTTGACCAACCTCCATTCGATCACCCCCCGCTCGTCCAACTCTCACTCACTCATCCGTCAACCCTCATCTCATCCCTTCAGGTGTCTGGCAGTGCGGCAGGAGCAGCCCAACTCGCCGCTGTGGCGCACGTCCGTGCTGCAGTTCACCGACGTCCTCGATCACGCGCTGCTGCTCGACTGGCCCTCCAACCTTCTCCCCGTCCCCTCTTCCCCCGCCCCCTCCGCCCCCTCCGCCTCGCCTGCTGCTCGCCCCGCCTCATCTCATCAAGCCCCATCTGCCCCCATCGCTGGAGCCGTGGCAGCAGAGAGCAGGGGGAGCGGGGAGAAAGGGAGAGAGGGCAGGGAGCAGCATGGAACGGCCGCGGCAGGGCCGCTGGGGGAGGCGGAGGCAGGTTCGAGGAGCGATAGTGGTGCAGCGCCGGTGGAGGGGACACAAGGACAGACCACACACGAGCAGCAGCAGCAGCAGCAGCAGAGCGTGGCACTGTCGGGCGCCACGGCCACGTGGGACCCCGCGGTGCGGCAGCGCTTCTGGAAGGAGCTGGTGGGGCTGTACGAGGGCGTGGTGCGCGGCATGTGCGCGGGGGAGGGGGTTGTGAGGGGCATGGGCAATGGGGAGTGGCAGTCTGGGTCCGTCCAAACGCTGCCGCCCGCTCAGGTTCATGAGGACGAGGTGCTACAGGAGCGGATGGTGCGGCTGCTGGGAGAGAAGGTGCTCAAATACTGCCAAGATGCGCCACTGGAGGTGAGTGGGGTACGGGGAAGGAACGTGGCCCATTGAGGCCCACGTGGCCTGGTTGTAACACACTCCCACTGCTGCCCACTCGCATGCCTCCCTGCCTTTGCTGATGTAGCCACCCCGCTGCCCTGCCCCCATCAGGTATGGGTCCTCCTAGAGTCAGTACGTGGGGTGACTGACAACTAGTCCTGCAGACAGGCATTTGGAGAGGCCTGAAGGGCCTGAGAAGGGTCTCACAGAACCCAGGATCCATTCACGAATGCCACTGAGCTGTCTAAATACTGCGGAGAATGCTATTCTACGGGAGAGCTGACTAGTGTGAGACGCACAGACAGAGTTTTGGCAGTGATTTTTGACAGAGTGTTAGGTTGCCTTGGTAGAATTCAAGCATAGTTTCACTAGGAAAATTGATTGAACAAGAATATGGTACAAGCAAGGAGAACCAAGTAGCAAAGACAATGAACTTCTGCAGGGACCAAGCTTGTGCGTTGCTTAGTCAGCAATGGCAGGTGAAACCAAAGCACATGCACCTGTCACCTAACTTGGCAGTTGCTCAGGTTTTACAACAATGACAGTTGCATACGTTTTTGCAGTTAGCAAAAACGTGTTTCATGTTCAGTTTCCTTACTGATTCGAATTCTCCTGGGGAGTACAATTTTCGAGAGCATATGATTCGTCGAAATTCGCTCTCTCAAAATTGGGCGAAATTCGCGCACATTCGAATTTCCTTTGACGAGTTCATCTGGTCCAGGAAACGTTCGGCTCGACGATGCCCCTGTCGAGCTCAGTTCTGTCGACCAGCGATCCCTTGAAATGCCCATTTCGTCCATTTTCATTGACTTGCGTCATCGACGCCGAGTCAATCCCGTCGACCAGCGCCTCGTCGACGGGCACTTTTGTCGACTAGCGAAAACACTTCGATGTGGACGAGTTAATCTCGTCTGACAGACGCTTCGTCGCAGACAGATAAGAGTCCCGGAAGCTGTCGCACACAGATAAAAGTCCCCGAAGTCGCCGATGACCACGAAACAAAGCCGGCTGCACACCTTTGTGCACCGGGAAGCAAGGCCAACTTCGACCAAGCGAAGGCGGGGCCTTTTCTCTTTGACAAATACACCTGGTAGGACTAGTGCTGGATCTGGCTGGCAGAGCGGGCCGTGAGAGGGGCCTCACAGGCTCCAAGATTCACTCACCAATATATCCAATCAAACCTTGTCTACACCATGCGTTCCGCACCCATCCGACCCTGTGCGCCCCTCTGTAAGACTCATTGCCGTTCTTACCCCACGCCCACCTCCCCCCGCTCCCCCTACTCCACCCAATGCTGCACGGCAGGTGAAGCAGCGTCTGGTGGGGCTGCTGCTGGACCTGGCAGAGCGGGCCGTGGGGGAGGTGCAGCTCACAGGCCCTTTTACTGCCGCTCTTACGCTCCCCCCTTCCCCTCCTGCACCCCCCTCCCCCCCCACCATCCATGCCACACGACAGGTGAAGCAGCGCCTGGTGGGGCTGCTGCTGGACCTGGCAGAGCGGGCCGTGGGGGAGGTGCAGCTCACAGGGGGTGCCCGTGGCCGTGGGAGTTCGGGGCACAGCGGCTCAGAGCACGGTGCGTGGGCCAGCTTGCATGATCTGTCAAGTAGCCGCGGTCGGTCGTTTCGATCTCTGTCGTTGCCTCCAAGAGTCGCTCTCCATTCCACGATGCCCCTGTCCCTCCCTGTGCTGCTGATTACTGTTTACACATGTTTTCCCTCAATGAAATCACTTTATCGCCCCTCCTCCTCCCCCCTTGCTCTCCCCTTCCTCCCCCTGCCCTGCCCTCTCCCATCAGGAGAAGCGCCCAGCAGAGCGGCTGCTGCTGCACCAGCAAGCAACGGCAGCATGGCAGCAGGCGGCAGCAATGCAAGAATCCTCTCTCCCGCCACTGGCACTGCATCCTACCGTGCCGCACCGGACCGCTCCCGCTCCTTCTCCACCCCTGCAGTGTCTGTCTCTCCTCTCCGCACTGCCTCCGGCCCAACCCCTGCCGCCGCCTCTGCGTCTACTGCTGTCCCAGGTTCAGGGGGGTCAGGCTCAGGTTCTGGGTCAGGTGGAATTTCAGGGTCTTTATCAGGAGGGCAGGGGCCAAAGAGCGAGGTAAAGGCAGCAGCGTCTTTAAGTGGGCTTGCACGCGTGGGCAGCTGGCTGGGATGGGGTGCTGCTGGCGGGGCAGGGGCAGGGGGGCAGGTGAAGGCGACAGGCAGTGTGGGAAGGGGGGGAAGCGATGGTGGCAATGGTGGTAGTGGCAGTGACGGGCATGTGGTGGTGACCAGGACGAGAAGCAGTAGTGCTGTTGCTGGGAGGAGTGGGAGCAGAGGCAGCGATGGAGACCTGGTGGGTGGGTCACTGGATGGGGCAGGCAACAACAGCTTGGGTGGTAATAGCAGCAATGGTAGTGGCAGTGGTGAGGGGGGATGCGGCATGTGGAGGGAGACGCTGCACCCTGTGTGCTTCACTGCCATCCACCTGCTGCCCCAGATCTGTGGGTGAGTGGTTGTCCTTGCCACTCCCTCTCACCCCTTCTCATGCTCCCTCACGCCCCCTCACGCCCGCCACGCCCTCTCACGCCCTCTTGCTCCCTCTAACGCCCTCACATGCCCTCACACAACCTCTCACGCCTTCGAAAGCCCTCTCACGCTTGGTATCGTGCAGGCGGCCAAGCCTCAATGATCCAGTGAGCAGCTCCGCGGTGCAGGTGGCGAGCATCGCCATGCCCCGCTTCCTCGCCTTCGCCCGCCGCCGCCTGCAACGCTTCACTGAGGACTGCCTGGTGCGCGGTGAGTGCAGAGTGTTTTAGTCACAATAGGCTTGAATGTGCGTAGAACGAAAGATAGAGAGTGCACTGACGGATTTTTGCATAGCGGATTTAAAACTTCATAGCGGAATGGGCACAGCACCAAATGATATGCTATTAATCGAATCTGGGACGACTTATCGTCGTTTATAACTAGGAAGTTGAGGCATTTGATTTGATATAAAACCAACGACGTGAGATTGTTTTAAGCGAACGACGGTCTAGTAGCAACTATTGTCTTTCGATACAATATAGAAAGACGTTCAAATTGAGAATGATTCCCAGCATTTACAAACCACAATAGTTGATGTCTAGAGAGGTGGACGAGTGTCTCACAGTCTCCAACCACGAAAGATTTCGAAACTAACCACCATAAAGGCCCACACCAAAAGAATTGTTATGCTACACAATATAATGAAATTATTTCCACTATCTTGGTGTTTACCCGTTTAGCAAGCTCTGAAATTACTTCTATTCTGAGATTACGCTCTGGTTCTTCAATATATTATTCCTTGAGATCCTGGAAGTTTGCTGCACGCACCTGCGAGATGCCGAATGTTCGACACACGACAAAATAGTAAGCGCGCAGGACGTACAAACGACGACGTGACACGTGCGTAACGGAAACTCGCTATTGATTTAACACACACATTTAACATTATGGCTCAGCATTCACACGCTCAGATAAGCATGCAATATATATTATTCCATGCTCTCATACCATTCTATGCAAACACACACCCTCGCTCAAGGACAAGAAGCCGAGTGCAAACTATGGGTTTGCACCAACACAGAGGACTGCCTAGTGCACGGTGATTGCATAGGACTGCCTGGTGAGTTTGAGTTAACATGACTTGAGGGGCTGATGCTTACGACTGCCTGATGCGATGTGGGTACGGGACTTAGGGTGAGGGGCCACTTGTTTCTTGTGAGGGGGAGAGGGCCTTGTTGTGAGAAGGATGATGATCTAGTGAGGGGGAGAGGGGGAGGTGTGGTTGGATGGCAAGCAAGGACATGCGCATGCCTCCAGGAAAGGCCGCTCACATGGGAATACATGTCCCCATTGTTCACCTCCTCAAAGCACTGAGAGGAAAATGTAGCATTTTTTTAGTGGATGGAAAGGGAGCATGCTAAGAATTTATTCCACTTCTCCCTCCCCCTTGTGTTCTCACCACAGGGGCGGGCAGCATGGCAGCGGCGCGCAGGAGGGAGGTGAGGGTCATCCTCGCAGGCCTTACAGCCATCTCGCTGCACCCCGCTGTCGCCGCCCCCCTCTCGCACCTCCTTCCCGCCATGCTCCGCTGCACCCCTTCTCCTCCTGCTCCCCTCCTCCCATCCCTTACTCTTGCCTCCTCCTCCGCCTCCTTTATTACATCCGCTCCATCATCCCACATGCACCCAGCACCACCAGCGCCCTCCCTCGCTCACAGCATTGCTGCCCACACTGCACCGCGCAGCAAGCCCGTCTCTGCCCCCACCTCTGCCATTGCTGCATCAGCCGCAGCTCCCACTGCCACGCCTCCTGATCCTGGCAGCACCGCGGTTGCAGCGGCTTGCACTGCTGGCACCGGAGGCAGGGAAAAGGGTGGAGAGGAGTGCATTGAAGGAGAGATTGGTGCGAGGGGAAGTGAGGGTGAGTGTGAGTGGCGGGTGCTGCCGGACGGGCAAGGCGGGGGCATGGGATGGCGCAAGGCCCACCTGTTCGCCATCTACCCCTTCGCATGCGACCTCATTCTTGCCAGGTGATGCTTGCTGCATGGCCACGTCGCAGCATGCCATTGGTGGAACTTGTGAATGTGCATACGCTGTTCCTTCCTTTCCCTCCCACCCCAGTGCAACCTTGTCACATTGCCAGGTTCATTGCAATCCCCTTGGATCACCTTGTCCCACCTCCCCTTCATCTAAATACCTCCCCCTCATCCCACCACCTCCCCTTCATCCCACCACCTCCCCTTCATCCCACCACCTCCCCTTCATCCCACCACCTCCCCTTCATCCCACCACCTCCCCCTCATCCCACCACCTCCCCTTCATCCCACCACCTCCCCTTCATCCCACCACCTCCCCCTCATCCCACCACCTCCCCCTCATCCCACCCACTCCCCCTCATCCCACCACCTCCCCTTCATCCCACCACCTCCCCTTCATCCCACCACCTCCCCTTCATCCCACCACCTCCCCTTCATCCCACCACCTCCCCTTCATCCCACCACCTCCCCCTCATCCCACCACCTCCCCTTCATCCCACCACCTCCCCTTCATCCCACCACCTCCCCTTCATCCCACCACACCCCCCTTCATCCCACCACCTCCCCCTCATTCCACCACCTCCCCCTCATCCCACCACCTCCCCTTCATCCCACCACCTCCCCCTCATCCCACCACCTCCCCCTCATCCGACCACCTCCCCTTCATCCCACCACCTCCCCCTCATCCAACCACCTCCCTTTCATCCCGTGTCATCTCAACAATTCCTGTTCAACCCTTTTACGTGTACCATGCATTTCCCCCCACGCACCCAGCAGGGACCCGGAGCTGGCAGGGGCACTGCGCGCACTGCTGCATGCAGTGGGGGCGGAGATGGGGCTGCACCCTGCGCAGCGAATCTGACGCCATCCCACTTCCACACAGCCTGCCGACCACCTGCCTGCACCTGCACCACCAACCTGCTGCCGACCGCCAATCCTCCCTGCTGCATGTCATCCCTCTCTGGATACAAGTGCATTATTTGGCACATTATTCGCTGTGAACTGCAGACGAATGGAACCCGTTAGGTGTGCGAGTACGAGCATGGGCAAATGCAAGTTGTGCATGAGTATTCGAATTCATGTTTTTTCGACAATATGCCCCACTCATTCTCTTCACTGTGACTTGTTTTATAGATGAGTAGTTTATTTTCCATTGTAAGGAAACAAACTTTCCAGTACTTCGCATCACACAGCATACCGTCAGGCTCCGGATATACAGTACCGCCTTGTGGTCAATAAACCCACCCCACCTTGTGCTGAACAGGTTATGTCCAAGGCCTCTAGTGGCAAGAACTTGGAAAAGCTAGAAATTACAAAGTTTTATAGTCACTGGAAAAAGCAACCTGCCTGTTCAAAGATTCCGATTGTTGTTAACTGTAATGGAGACACTGCTTGGAAATTTTTAGGTGTGCTGTGTCAAAGCATAGCTCACACAGTATCAGAGGAGCCGCTCTGCATGGCAATCTGGTGAGCACGGGCAATGGAAGCATTGAAGTCGAGATCGGTGGACGTGTCAATCTCGCTGTCGATGCGCGACGCCACCTTGTCCACCTCCTCGCCCACTATCTCCCCCCTCAGCGCCACCAGCTCCCCCAGCACCTTGCCCATGGAGGGGCGCGAGGCCGTGGGCATGGCGGTGCAGGAGAGAGCCAGGCGGGCGAGGCGCAGCAGAATGTCATCCGGGGCGTCCAGGCGCGGGTCTCTCAAGGCTGTGACTGAATTGGATGCCACCAGTGGCTCCACCTGCACGCATGGGAGGAGGGAGGCTGAGTGAATGCAGCTGCAATGCTGTGGAGGGGCTGTGGTAGTTTGAGGATATGCTGGGAAGATCAGGTAGCCTCATGAAGAGCATCAGCACTCAGCTCACCCATTGCTTGAGGTGTACATGGCCGCCCTCTGCCTCTTGCACTGCCTTGCGCCCCGTGATCACCACCAGCATCACCACCCCAAAGCTGCCACCGCAAAGCAAACAACAACAAGATTTTGGAAGAATCGTTGTAGCAGTCAATATGATGACCGGGCACGGACAATCCGCATTGCACTTGGTCTCCTAGTCACGTTTCACTGCCCTCTCACGTGCTCTACAATTCGCAATGTAGACCACTGCACCGGCGCACGTCACTTATCTTTCTTCACTCAATCCTTGAGCCATAGGGGGTGCCTCTCCTCACCTGTACACATCGGCCATGGGGGTGGCCTTGTGTGACTTGCAGTGGGCGGGGTCCACATAGCCCGGTGTGCCATCATTCCACATACTTCCATGCAGGAAAACACGAGCTTGCACCACACGGCACCCCTCTTTACCTGTACACATCGGCCATGGGGGTGGCCTTGTGTGACTTGCAGTAGGCGGGGTCCACAAAGCCCGGTGTGCCCATCACTCGAGTGGCTGCCACCGTTGTGCCCGCAGCCGTGCCGCCACTCAGCTTCACGAGCCCGAAATCCGCAATCTTGGTCTGCCCTCACTCACAGCACCACGGCAGGAGCAGCAGTGGCATATTCAAGAATGAACGACTGAGGAATAAGGCAGGGTGGAACAGAGGGCGAGGGAGGTTGATAGCATGAGAACGTAGAGAGTGAGAGAGGAGCAAGCAGGGGTTGCTACGAACGTGCCTGCATGGTGGCGCTGAGGAGGATGTTGGCGGGCTTGATGTCGCGATGCACGATGCCGAAGTCATGCAGGTACTGCAGCCCCTTGGCCACCCCGATCAGGATGTCCACTCGCTGGCACAGGGAGAGTGGGGTGGCGGCACCGGGTGCGATCCAGGCGTCGAGGTCGTGGTTGGGCATGAACTCGTACACGAGTATTTGCTCCATGGTGCGTGTTGCCGGGTCAAACGCGATGCAGTAGCCCAGCAGCCGCACCAGGTTCGGGTGGTGCTTCGATGCCATCTCCCTCACCTGCCAGGGGGGAGGGACGAGGAGGCAAGAAACTGACGAGTGGAATGGGAGGGAGACGGCGAGGAGGAGTATGGTGTGCCATAAGCGACTGCAATGAGAACACGGAGAGCACACAGGGAGCACAGGCGAGCACAGGAGCAGCACACGTGGGAGCACAGGCGAGCACAGGAGCAGCACACGTGGGAGCACAGGGGAGCACAGGAGAAGCACAGGGGAGGACACAAGAGGCACACGAGGGTCACCTCTCGCTGGAAGTCGTTGGTGAGCACTCGAGCGCGCTTCACCGCCCACACCTCGCTCCCACCGTGCGGGTTCACGCCTCTGTACACGTCGCCAAAGCTGCCGCTGCCAATCCTGTTGCGCTCCGCCCAGTCCCCCGTGGCTGCTGCCATGTCCTCCAGGGAATACTCCCCACACACATCCGCCCGCGCCGCCCCCACCTCCACCACCACCCCTTCCTCCCCACTCCCTACTGCTGCTGCTGCTGCTGCTGCTGCTGCGGCCGCTGCTGATGCCGCCGATTCTGTGTTCTCTGCAACTATGGTTGAGGAATGTTTCAGGGGACGTATGCAACAGCATGGAAGGGGGTTCCTGAGGAATATATGTACGGGTATTGCTCAAAGGACTCGAATCGATGGATGACTTGGCAAGAATGTAATGATGGGGTTAGGAAGACCATAATTTGGCGATGATGCAGCTTTCTGAAGGAAATTAAGGATGGGTTTTAGAGAAGAAGCCATAGACAGGTGGAGAATGGGAAGAGATGGTGAGTGCATAGAGGAATGGATGGGTTTTGGATGGAAGGGAAGGGATGGTTGGACTAGTGGAGACATGTGGTGAGTGAAAGGGTAGGGAAGCATTGGCTGAGGGCAATGGAGACACACAAAGACCAGGGGAGAGCGGGATGATGAGGAGAGGTCTGTGAGGGAGGGAGTGAGAGATACAGAGGTGGGAGAGAAGGGACAAAGGAGGAGAGAGAGCCGATAACGTAGCTAGAAAAAGAGTCGCACCCTTGCTGCCCTCCTCGCCTGCAGGAGCAGCCCTGGAGAATGCATTTCCCTGGCTGTGCCTCCACCACAGCAGTGCACCGAGCAGCACTGCCAGCAGGAGAGCAGCTACAGCAGCAACAGCGATGCCGGCAATGGCTGCTGTGGGCAGACCCCCTTGCGATGGAGAAGGCGCGGGTGCCGGGTTGATTGGCGGTGCTGAAGGCCCAGAGACTGAGGGAGGCGCTGGAGTTGCTGTGGTGGGGGGCGATGGGGTGGCTGCTGAGGGGGGTGCTGCAGGTGCTCATGTGGAGGGGGGATCAGGAAGGCAGATGATGCATACGCAATAACAGAATCACGTGAAGGGGATGTGAGTGTGAATCGAAACAGCAAGTGCAGAATGCAAAACACAATACATTAAAATCTTCCAGAGCAGAATACAGAAAGGCAAGGGTCATACCTGGAGGTGCTACCATATTTGCAGGTGTTGCCATACCTGGAGGTGCTGCCGTACCTGGAGGTGCTGCCATACCTGGAGGTGCTGCCGTACCTGGAGGTGCTGCCATACCTGGAGGTGCTGCCGTACCTGGAGGTGCTGTGTACCTGGAGGTGCTGCCGTACCTGGAGGTGCTGCTGTACCTGGAGGTGCTGCCGTACCTGGAGGTGCTGCCGTACCTGGAGGTGCTGTGACACAGGAGGAGCAGAAAGCGGGGCATGTCTTGCAGAAGGCGCTGTCAGGGTGCTGCTCAACCTCACAGCTGGCATTGTTTGGTGGGCATGTCAGTGACGTGCCATTTAGGTTCCTGCAGCCGAACAGTAAATTGTGACTGATGCGCATCAATATTTGCTAATCATAGCTGGTTATGCTTTGCTCTTGCAAAAGCACCGTGCGTGCTAGAATAAAGCGTGTAACACGAGGGTTGAGTTGAAGAGCGATAGCACACTATAGAACATATCGGTCATGGTAGCGAATGGAGCCCACTGTGTGGTTACCAACGCGCCATACACCACACTGCGCCATACACCACACTGCGCCATACACCACACTGCGCCATACAGCACACTGCGCCATACAGCACACTGCGCCATGCAGCTGATTTTGAGTCGACTCAAAATTCAACTCCATACAGCACACTGCGCCTTGCAGCACACTGTGCCATACAGCGTATGTTCAGACATTCCAGCGAGCAGCAGTTTCTAAGGAGAAGGTTTAGCAAAGGAGAAAACAGTTGTAGTAAAAGCCTAGCTGATTCGCGTAGGGTTCTGTAAAGTCGGAGCTCTTCACTAAGCAGTGGCTAAAACACGGACAAACATGTTTCGGCTGTAGGGAAGCCCCTAGCAAGCCTTCATCAGTGCCAAATGAAAGAATGTGAGCGAGGCCTAGCCGTCTAAAGCAAAGCAAGAAAGGCTAACCACCGAAATGTACAAATCCCTAGGCTATCTTCACCCTGGTCAACCCAAAAAGATGGGGACCAATCCAGGCTGCCCTGGAAATTCCAAGGAGCCACGTCTTCATTCCTCGACAGTGTCTTCGTGAGTAACAGGGCCTGCAGCTTCGCCACTTCGCAAACTCGAGAGTCGCGTGCGCACCAGTAGCCTTGATAAGCTACACCCCAATTTCCAAGCAACAAAAATCCTATCTACATACAATCCGCGTGAGAGAAGTCTAGTTTTGAGGTGCCTCAAAACATGCAGCACACTGCGCCATACATCACACTCCGCCATACATCACACTGCGCCATACATCACACCGCGCCATACATCACACTCCGCCATACATCACACTGCGCCATACACCACACTGCGCCATACACCACACTGCGCCATACATCACACTGCGCCATACATCACACTGCGCCATACATCACACTCCGCCATACACCACACTGCGCCATACATCACACTGCGCCATACATCACACTGCGCCATACATCACACTGCGCCATACATCACACTGCGCCATACATCACACTGCGCCATACATCACACTGCGCCATACATCACACTGCGCCATACATCACCCTGCGCCATACATCACACTGCGCCATACACCACACTGCGCCATACATCACACTGCGCCATACATCACACTGCGCCATACATGACACTGCGCCATACATCACACTGCGCCATACATCACACTGCGCCATACATCACACTGCGCCATACACCACACTGCGCCATACATCACACTGCGCCATACATCACACTGCGCCATACATCACACTACGCCATACATCACACTGCGCCATACACCACACTGCGCCATACATCACACTGCGCCATACACCACACTGCGCCATACATCACCCTGCGCCATACATCACACTGCGCCATACATCACCCTGCGCCATACATCACACTGCGCCATACATCACACTGCGCCATACATCACACTGCGCCATACATCACACTGCGCCATACACCACACTGCGCCATACAGGCCAAAGAAGTTGTTCTGCTGAATGTAGCTGCGAGGTGGGTGGGTGGGAGGATGCTTATTGAGAACAACTGGGGTGGGAACTCAAAGATGAGCACTTGCTTCTGTGGCCTCCAAAGGGACCCATACAGCTCAGGTGGCAAAAGAATCGTCATGCTGTGAGAAAGTTTGCATCTCAACAACCAGGGCAATCCGTTATGGGGGACAAACACGATGTGGGCCAAACCCTGTCCCATCCGTAACAGGCCTAACCAGGCTCGAGGTGTTGCTCATGCCTACAGACAGCCTACCGCGTGTGGTGGAAGTGACATTGGAAATCAAATCCACTTACAATGCGCTCAGTTCTGTTAGCTTGCCGATTGAATCCGGAATGCTGCCGTTCATTTTATTGAAAATAACATCCCTGAACAGACCAAGGGAATGCAAGGAATACGCTCAAATGACCAAGAATGGGATTAGTTTCAAGTTTGAAGCCAATTGATGCTTGAGCGATTACGTCAATCCAACTAGAAAGAAATCTGGTTGCACACTACATTAATGTATGTAATCCGGGGGACATGAAGTTGCAAACAACCAGAATCCTTGTGGTACGAACATAATCCAGTCTAAACCCCAAAAGAAAAATTGCGATATTTGTTTTTGTTTCTTTTCAATTATTACAGAGACATCAGGTTGGTGAGTGTGCCAATGGTGGATGGAAACGATCCGGTTAGCCCCGTTGAACCTAAATTCCTGGCAGCGGGCAGGGGAGAAGGGGAAACGAGATAAACATATCTAAGCAAGAATGCTGGTGCATGTTATGACGAATGTTAACAGAACAATGGTGTGTGTAGTTGCAAATGGACTACCGAAAGGTTTTCACTGAGGGTGACAATAACATCAACACATTTTAAGCTGAATGTCGAAAAGCAGCAATTTAGTTCAGACTCAATGAGACATCGAGATGACAAGCCGATCTCGGTACTCTTTGTAGGGCTACAGCTGTACCAGTACCCTTGCAGAGCAGATTTACAGCTGGAGCGGCACGCAGTGCAGAGCTACAGCTGGACAAATACAAACTTCATTCGCTAGATCGCACTGTGCATTGCGCAGTGTGTAGTGCGACACACACATGCATGCATGGATCGAAGCCAGTCACTTACAGGTTTTCAAGCATCTCCAGACTACCAATGAACTCTGGAAAGGGGCCTTTCATGAGATTATTGAAACCAAGGCTTCTGATGCCGTGACACAGGAGCGGGGAAGCAAGGAGAGAGTGGGATGGGGGAAGGGGGAAAGAGGACGGGGATGGGGTTGAGAGGGGGGGGTATGGAATGATTTTCCACGCATTTGGCAAATGAAGCACACGAAGGGGATCAGCGGAATCTGGTTGTTCTAAGTGTGCCGACCTGGCGCATATTGGCTATCACAAGCCACGGGGCGATCTGGGAAGCTTTTTTGACTCCTGGCGAGCGGGTCACAATTCATGCCTACTACGATCATTCAGCAGCAAGCATCTCCTTGGTGATTCTTGCGACTATCGAACATACCGAAAAGGCCAATTTTCCAAAGTAATAGCTTTTTTTACTTATTGTTGTTGCAACTAACAGATCATGCAGCTAGAAAAGTTGGTTCTTGCAAATAATACTTCTTACAGCTGGCAGTTCCAGCAACTACCAGGTCGCGTACTTTTCGGAATTTTCGTACAAAACCATCAGTTTTGTTTTGCACCAAACGATTCCCTAAAACGATCATTTCTTGAAGAGAACAGCAGTTGCTGAAAAATGGGAGAATTTGCAACTAACAGTTGTTGGAGGTTGGTCAAGTTGGCAAAGGTCGAAGGAATGGACCCCGTCAACGAGTTTCGAGCCAGAGACCTGGTGAGATGTGATGTGAAGGGGCTCGCATGGATGGCAGGTGAGGGAATGATGCAGCACCATATAGGGTGGCCAGCCAATAGGTTGTGCTTAGAAGATAAAGGAGTTTTGATCTGATGTGTGCACATACGGCTGTAGTAGGGTGGTGTGCTCTCCTCCCCTGAACACAATTCGTTGAAGAGCGGAGGGCAATCAGAGGTTTGACGAGCCAGCTTGTTGCCATCATGCCGCAAGCCAGACTGTAACAAACAAACACGCTCATGTAGCACAAACTGCTATTGTTACCCCCGAAAGGCATATTCTGGTTTCTATAGCTAGCAGCCGCAGGTCTAACCCAATCTACATTAGACACCCTGAACCGAGCTGGTTTGGGATGAGTACTGAATTTTATCGGATTGGATTGGATTGGATTGGATTGGATTGGATTGGATTGGATTGGATTGGCTACACATCACATTAGTGTGCAGAGAGCAGAGAAGGTGGAGGCAGGAGAAAAGGGAGAAGAAATGAATAAGACTGAGGAGAGAGTGACAAATAAATGACAGCACTGTTGTATGAAATCTTTCGGTGTTTGTGCTGGGAGCGACCAACCAACACAACACCAACCTCCAACGTGTGCAACCTTCCATTCACCTTACCAATGCCAGACTCATTAGTGCTCACATACAGACGTGTCAGGCTCGTTAGAGCTCACGGCGAGTCAGGCTCACGTACAGGTGAGTGAGGCTGGTGAGATTTCCCAACGACTCTGGAAGGGGTCCGCTGATGCCCATATACGTTAGCACCCTGAAACATGCACACATGGGTTGGCCAGAAACAGGAGGGGAGGAGGTGAATTGAAAAATGGGCACAGAAGGGGAATTCCCCAGCGACTCTGGAAGGGGTGTGCTGATGCCCATATACGTCAGCACCCTGATACATGCACACATGGGGTGGCCAGAAGCATGGGTGGGGAGGTGCAGAGAAAGTTGGATACTAGGGGGGTTTGTAAAGCGACACTTTACTTTGTACAGGGATTTGTACAGCCCGTGTTGAAGAACGGCCCATGACAAGTCACATCCTGCAGCCCGTCACGAAAAGGGACGTCTGAAGCCAGGTCTGCGCATGTCTGTCGCTCGCACCAAACACTAACGATGACAAAAACATAGGCTGCGCCTGGGTTGGCATGTCACAGACCTATAGAAGCCTGTGACAGGGTGTCGCAGCAGGTCTAGTGTAAGGTTGCACTCCTCACAGCGGAGAGCATGGCAGCCGATGCGAAACATTCATGACCAAGGCACTGGAAAAGCAGCTTGCTCACGGCTAGTCATGGTCGGTCAGTGCTGATGTGTCCGGGATCTGCCCGAGGGCCTTGAACCCAATGCATGCCCTATTCTTCGCTCCCATGCCCCATGCTTTCCTCCCACGGCCCATGTTTCCCACCATGCCCCATGCTTCCCTCCCATGCCCCATGCGCCACCTACATTGAATCGATCATGCCTTGCGAGTTGCACGTGATGTTCTGTGCATGTGGCGTCGGCCCATACGGCCCACACATCGCTCCCGTCTCCCACCCATAGAACGTCCTCCCCCACGCCTGCTGGCAGTCCTGCAGCACGGGCACTGGGAGAGGGATGAAAGCAGAAGGGGAGGGGTTCTGACTCCTGAGACACAGAATGATTCCTTTTCCCTGTCGTCGCGTTTCATGCCACCGCCTGCTGGCAAGAACACATGGCTCCCGCCTTCCACCCATAGAACGTCCTCCCCCACGCCTGCTGGCAGTCCTGCAGCACGGGCACTGGGCGAGGGACGAAAGCAGAAGGGGAGGGGTTCTGACTCCTGAGACACAGAATGATTCCTTTTCCCTGTCGTCGCGTTTCATGCCACCGCCTGCTGGCAAGAACACATGGCTCCCCTGCCACCCAAAGAACGTCCTCCCCCACGCCTGCTGGCAGTCCTGCAGCACGGGCACTGGGCGCCACATGTGGCCGGGGCCACCCACGTGAGGGGGCAGCAAATGGGTGAGGGGCAGCAGATGGGTGGTAGGTGGCAGACGGGTGGGGGCAGCAGGAAAGAGGGGCGGACGGGCCGCGAGAGTCGGATAAGGGGAAGAGAGAATAAAGAGGTTGAGAAGACGAGGGGAACAGGTGAAGCGGCAATAAACTCACAGGAAGGGGGACGACGGGGGACAGGTGAAAAAGGGAGGGAAAGGGGAGGGGGTGGGGGACGGAGGGAGGAAAAAAACCAGAGAAGGAAGGGATGCGAGAGGCAGAATGGAAGATTGAGAGTCATGCAAGATGCACCCACATTACTCGCAACACAACCCTAACAAGCTCACCACACCGCCCCGTCCATCTCTCCGTATTTGAGATGCAAATGCGTTCCATGCCACAACAAGCCGAGCACACGCTGGGAATGCTAACGGGGAGAAGCGAGCCTGAAAGCTGTGTGGTGGCGTTGAGGTGGGCGACGTCGTGCAAGGCACGGCGAACTGGTTGCAACACAGCGACATCATGGCGACATGGTGACATCATGGTGACATCAGTTTGAAACGGAGACGAAATGCGGACCTTGGGAGGGGTCGATGATCACACCACGGACTGGAGAGTAAGCGAAATATGTGAGGAGGCACAGCGCGAGCGCGGCGCCTCTTAGTTGACGTCTGAAGCCCATCAGTGGGCCCGGTCGAACAGCCGTGAAGCTCAAACAGCACTTTCGCAACCCTAACGCAAACCTTGTATCCCTCACGAACTACAAAAAACGCTTCGATCAACCTGCTCAAGCCGCTTCGTGCTTTCTAGACTCCTCGTGGCTTGCTAGCAACTGGATTTCGGTAAACATACGAGCCACCTTTACTTCGTTGCGCAAAGAAATAGGTGTTCGGTTTGGTACGTTTCGGGTAGATGTTTTGGCGTTCTTAAATGTTTCATGCAGTCATCAAAGCGGTCAAGCACGTTTCGAGGAAGAGGAACGAACCACACGCTCGCACGTGTTGACCAGGAACGACCACATGGAAGCTTGGGAGTTCCGGATCGTGGACGCTGATTGGTCGCAGTGGATGAGTTCGGGCGGGAAACTGTCCATGTCAGAGCTGCTGTTAAAAAATCCCTTTAAGAGTCGCTTCGGATTAGGGTTTTAGTTTCTATATACTTCTACAAAGAGAAAATTAACAACAAAAAATCCCTGGACAGACTCATTATGTCGCACGCGTTCGTCCTTTCTCCCCCGTTTCCCCTCGTTACCCATCGTGCCATTCCGCTCATCCTCCCGTCGACCCGCTATTGTCATCCTCGCTGCTAACAATGGTCGCAGACACCACCGCCGACGAGAGCCCGAGTCGCAACAGAGACACGCGGCCGATCGTGATAGAACCGCTGGTAATAAGGCGGCCGCTGATAGGCTGATTTCGTTGGAGGGAAAGAGAGGAGTGGAAGGGGGGAGGGGTGGTAAGGCGCAGGGAGGGGGGAGCGGCGTTGGGGGGAGGAACGAGGAGGAAGACGTATGGAGGATGGAATTAGACCTCGGGCAGGTGAAACAAAACGCGCTGCAAGCGGCTGCCCGGCTGAAAACTCTGCGGGTTGAGGATGTGGGGGAAACGGTGAAGATGGGGGTGGATGCTATGCAGAGCGGTGGAAATCGGCTGCTGACGTCAGCGGGGATGCTGGGAGAGCGAGCCAGCGATAGCATGCGGTGAGGGGCGATAGGGAAAGAGAGTGGGGAGGGGCGATAGGGAAAGAGAGTGGGGAGGGGCGATAGGGAAAGAGAGTGGGGAGGGGCGATAGGGAAAGAGAGTGGGGAGGGGGAGGGAGCGAGAGGGGGGTGAGTGTGCGATGATGAAGGGGGGAAGGATGGGGGTTGGAAGGGCGTGAGGGCGGGCAGAGGAAAGGGGACGCAGGACGCGAGGATGAAAGCGGGGGAGGATGGGTTTGGGGGGGAAGGAGGTCGGGAGTAACGGGCGCAGAGGGGAGGGATGGGTGCAGAGGAGAGGGGAGGGATGGGGTGGGATGGGCGAAGAGGTTTGGGGGCGCAGATAGTGGTGAGTGGAGGAGCGTGGTTGTGGCGCAAGGCGATGGATTGAGGAAACGACAGGGCAGAGGTGCGTGAGGAGAGGGGATAGCGGGGCGGTGGGTGGGGGGGTTGGGGGGGTGGTGCGTGAGGGAGTAGGGGGGTACATGGGGGGGTAGTGGGGGTGGAGCGCAGGGGGATAGGGGGAGGGGTACATGGGTGGGTGGGTAGGGGGGGGGCGGTGCGTGGGGGGATAGGGGTGGGTGGGACATGTGAGGTCGGGTGGGGCATGCGAACTTGGGTGGGATTTGCGAGATTGGGTAGGAATGGGTGGGAGTGGGGAAGTCAAGGAGGTCAACGCAATGCCCACCCTTCCCTTCTCTTCCCCTCCCTTCCCAACACGCAATGCACACCCTTCCCTTCGCTCCCCCCCCCGTCCCAACATGCAATGCCCACCAATCCTGCCATCTCTCCTCCTCCATCCTCTCTCCTCGGTGCATCCGTCCCTCTTCTGTCCACCTTTTGCTGCATCTTCCTTCCTCTCTTACTCTGCTTCCAGCCCCTCCAAATCTATATCTCTTCTCCCCCTTCCCCCCCTTTCCCCCTTCCCCCCCTTTCCCCTTTCCCCTCCCCCACCCACCCTCAGGCGCAATCTCTCCTCCCTCACCTCCTGTGTCTCTGTCTCCCCCTCTGGCCGCCTCTCCCTCTCCCTCCGCCCCTCCTCCCTCCGCCCCCTCCTCCTCCTCGCCTCCCTCCTCTCCCTCCTCGTCTTCCGTTCCCACATCCTCCCCATCATCTCTGCCCTCCTCTCTCTCCTCCTCTCCCTCCCCCTCCTCTTCTTCCGCCTCCTGGGCTTCCGCTGGGCGGAGGGGGATCTCACCTGGGGGGAGTGGGGGTGGGGAGGCGGCGGGGGGAGGGGCAGGGGGAGGCGAGTGGTGCGGGACCGGTCGATGGGGGGAAAGGAGGTGGTGGCGTCTGAGGGGTGGCGCAAGTGGTGGGAGGGGGTGGGCGGAGGGGGGGAGAGTGGGCGCGAGGGGGGGAAAGGGATCGCAGGGAGAGAGGGTGGTGGTGGTGTGCGGAGGTGGAGGAGGGGAGGAGGGGCTAGGCAGAGAGGGGTGAGTCCACTGGATATACCAGCAGAGACATCACGGTCTGAGAGAGAGCTGCGGGCCATGGGGCTGCTGACAGGGGAGGAGGGGAGTGGTGGGCGCGCGGGGAGGCTGACTGGGCGGCAGGAGGAGCCGGCGTGGTGGAGGGAGGCGTGCAGTGGCGCAGCAGGGATGGCTGCCTCCGCCTCGCCTGCTGTAGCACCTGATATTGCAGCAGTATTAGCATCAGGAGGAGCAGCAGAGGGGAGAGCAGCAGGGGGGGGAGCATGGAGCGTGGCGAGGGAGGGCAGCGAGGAGGCGAATCTCGTTGTGCAACGTGAGTGCAAGGGGCGGGGAATGGCTCCCTGCCTGCTCCCTGCCTTCTCCCTGCCTGCTTCTTGTACCCTCCCTGCAACTCCCACCCCTGATGCTCCATTTTCTCGTCCGTGTTCCTGTCCGCTCATCAGCATGTTTGTCTCTGTCACATTCCACTATGCACTTCCCAATCTCGTCGCATTCCTCACCTCATCCCACTCCTCGTCTCCCCCTTGCCATTGCAACAATCACACGACACCATCAGGCATGTTGAGTCAGCGGCTGTTGGGTCAAGACTTCAACGCCTCAGACATTCTCCAGGTGCGCACTTGGCGTGCACATCAAATCGCATACAGTGCCTAGTGTATCCCTCTCAACACCATCCACGCATCGGCATGTGCATCGCCAGGTGCCCTTGACCCTCGCTTTCACCCCAGAAAGAATGCGCATTCACCCCGGACCGGGACCGTCTCGCTTTCCACTTCGTGACGGCACGGCTGTCCCTTTCCACTTCGTGACGGCACGGCTGTCCCTTTCCACTTCGTGACGGCACGGCTGTCCCTTTCCACTTTCGCCAAAACAGGCTCTGTGCCCGAGGAGTCCCGTTCGAGTCACGAAAAATGGCAGTAAGGAGGCCGGGAGGAGGAAAAGGATGCAATGCTGGTGGTTTTGAGAATTCTCAAAAACACCCTGCAGACTCATTGAACCCCTTCATGGAGCAGAACGAATCACCCATTGACTTCGAGGATGGTTCTTGGCCCCAAACGTGGCTACGATGGATAGGCCCCGTTAATTCTCTTCTCGGTGGGCGGGGATGAGGTCGGTCAGCGGCGGTCAGTCAGCGCAGCTTGGCTGCTTCTCAGGCTGGCCTGTCATGCGCCAATCAAATGAGGACGTGGACCCTATGCCCATGCCTCTTCCTCTCCCCCCACCCCATTCTCTCATCAGCTGTACACGGCGTATCGGCGCAGTGGTGCCACAGTTTCCATCGATTCGGACAACAGCCGTGACGCTCTCTTTAGAGCCGCTATCAACACCGCCTTCTCTGCCGCTGCTGGGTGAATGCATGGCTCCTTACCCCTTCCGCCTTCTTGCAACCCATGCCTCCTTGCCTCTCATTCCTTCCGTTCTCTCTCTTTGAAAGAGAGCCCCCTTGAATGCCATGGCCAATGTTTCTGGATGAATCCTTGCCAATGTTGATGATTCTGCCTCTCCGCCACTCCTTTCGCTTGCATGCATGCTCCAATGATGCTCCCCCTCATGCACCCCTGTCGTCATTCCATGATCGTTCTGCCTCCTGCCATAACTTCTTCCAACCATTCCCATCATGTTCTTCCACTCACCATTCTTGTAACACTAATTGCTCTTCTCGTTTCTTCCTCTGCCCGTCTCCCCAACCCCCCAGCACCCCCATCCCCCTCCTCCCCCCAGCGGACATCCCACTCTTCCTCGCCTGCCTGCCAGCAGCCATCCGTCTGCCCTCTCCCCGCCTTGCTGTTTCAGTCACCATCTTAACACTGTTACTTTCTCCCTTTGTTCCATCCTCTGCTCGTCTCCACCCTGCAGCACCCCCATCCCGCTCCTCCCCCCAGCGGACATTCCGCTCTTCCTCGCCTGCCTGGCAGCGGCCATCCGTCTGCCCTCTCCCCGTGCGCTCACCATGGTGCTCGCTGCTCTTGCAGCCCGCACCCGCTCCTCCTTCCTGCAGGCCTGGGTGAGCAGCACGTTTGGGTGAGGGGCTGGTTCGGGTGATCTGCAGGCTTGGGTGAGAGGCAGGCTTGGGTGAGAGACAGGCTTGGGTCAAAACAGGTTTGGGAGAGAGGCAGGCTAGGGTAAGAGGTACTGTCAGGCGAGACGTAGGTTCGGGTGAGAAGCAGGTTAAAAGGAGAGGCAGGCTTAAGTGAGAAGCAGGCTCGGGTGAGAGGCAGGCTCAGACTAGAGGCATGCTAGGGTAAGGGGCAGGCTTAGGTAAGAGGTAGGCTCGGATGAGAGGCAGGGACGGATGAGAGGCAGGGTCGGTCAGGGAGCAGGCTTGAATGGGTGGCCGGCCCATCCTGTGCCCATTCTTGTTTTCACTCATATTATGCTTCACCTTCCATTTGTGACTCCAATTCTTGCGTGTACCACACACCATACACCATGCACCGCACATTATGCACCGCGCACCATCCGCACATGGATCGGACATGCCTTGCACCGTGGCAGGCACTGGTGAAGCAGAATCGGCGCAGTGAGGCAGAGGAGGAGCTGCAACGCCTTGCCAGCATCGCCACCACCCTGCCCCCGCCGCCCAACTCGGTATGCCCCTCTCAACCCAACTCGCTATGGCTGCCCTCCCAACTCGCTATGGCTGCCCTCCCAACTCGCTATGGCTGCCCTCCCAACTCGCTATGGCTGCAATCCCAACTCGCTATGGCTGCCCTCCCAACTCGCTATGGCTGCCCTCCCAACTCGCTATGGCTGCCCTCCCAACTCGCTATGGCTGCCCTCCCAAAGCGATGCCCTTTTTTTAACGCCCTGTTCCACCCAGCACCACCCCCATGTTTCGTTTTCACTGTGCCACATACTACACACTATCTTAACTCATGCCCGTCTCACCACGTACCCAACACACGCCACCATTGCCGGTCAGCTCCGTGGCAGGCAGAAATGGAGATGGTGGCTGGGGGCCAACAGCAATGCACTCACCACTGCCCGCTTTCACCCTCCCCTTCCACCTGCCCAAACACCCTCCCTCCTCCCCCCTTCTGTGCCCCCACATCAACGCCCCGCCCATGCCTCCCTCCATGCACCATGGGCCGGCAGGCGCAGATGGAGAAGGTGTTGGGGGGACTAACAGCACCACACTCACCTCCCAATCTTCTCTCAACCTCCCCTTCCTGTGACGATGATAACGCCACCACACCACGCTCAACTCCCATTCACCCCTGTCTCACCCCAACCACCCACTCGTTCCTCGTCCCCTCCTCCCCCGTCCCTCTCGGCTCACCTGTGTGTGCACCATGCATGGCAGGTGGAGGTGGAGATGGCCACCGCAGGGCTAACACCGTCACACCTACCTCCTGCTCCCGCCTCTGTGATGTCCGCCGCCCCCCTCTCCTCCCCCCCCCCCCCCCCCCCCCCCCTCCCCCCCTCTCCGCCCCTTCCCTCCTGCCCATGCCCCTGCATGCATTGGCAGCAGCAGGCGGAGATGGAGATGGTGGCGGCAAGCTAAACCTAACACCTCCACACTCACCTCCCCCTCCCCCCTCTGTCACCCCCCACCTCCTCCCGCTCCTCTCCTGCCCATGCCTGCACTCACGCACTGGCAGGCGGAGATGGAGATGGTGGCGGGGGGGCTAACACCGTCACGCTCATCTCCTGCCCCCTCTGTCACGCTCATCTCCTGCCCCCTCTGTCACGCTCATCTCCTGCCCCCTCTGTCACGCTCATCTCCTCCCCCCTCTGTCACGCTCATCTCCTGCCCCCTCTGTCACGCTCATCTCCTCCCCCCTCTGTCACACTCATCTCCTCCCCCCTCTGTCACACTCATCTCCTGCCCCCTCTGTCACGCTCATCTCCTCCCCCCTCTGTCACACTCATCTCCTGCTCCACCCTCTGTCACACGCCCCCCCTCCCCTGGCAGGCGGAGATGGAGATGGTGGCGGCGGGGCTCACACTGGCACACTCATCAACTCCTCCCCCCTCTGTCACACTCATCTCCTCCCCCCTCTGTCACGCTCATCTCCTCCCCCCTCTGTCACGCTCATCTCCTCCCCCCTCTGTCACGCTCATCTCCTCCCCCCTCTGTCACACTCATCTCCTCCTCCACCCTCTGTCACGCCCCCCCTCCCCGGCAGGCGGAGATGGAGATGGTGGCGGCGGGGCTGGCGCAGAGGATAAGCCACGGGGAGAGGGAGGAGCTGCTGTGGGTCTACTGCAGGGCGGGCGGGAAGGACACCAGAGATGCCATGGCACGTGCCCTTGGCCTGTAGCTGTGTGCCTGTGTCCCCTCTGTAGCTGTAGGATGTTGGGCTTGGGCGGAGCAAAGCCCAGAGAAATCCTACGAGTGTTTACAAGTCTTTTGAAATATTGCAGTACTGGTTTGATCTGTTGTACAACCTGCCCCTGACATAAACATATGGTATCTGCCGGTAAAGTTGGGAAATCCCTGCATTCCATAAAGCGTGAAAAAAATAGAGGTGCCATCAGCACAAAACGTGAGAAGGGTGCAGATGGAAGACACACAAGGTTACCATAGAAGAACTTGAGAGCACAAGATAGCATTGTTTTGCGCACAAGCTGTCAGCAGCACCTAGAACAGAAACATGTGGCACCCTGAGTGCCCCAACCCCCAACCGCATCCAGCAACACTTACGACATACCTCCCATATCTTCTCGACGTCACGTTTCAGGGCGACCATTTCGTTTCTCATGGCTGCCACTTCGCTCCTTGGTGTTGCCAACTCCTGCAAAGGAAGTCAAGGAAAAGGAGGAACACGCTTTCCCTACAGTACAAGAGCCTTCCCTAAATGCGTCTGGCATGCTTCCTTACAACAATCGGACAGCCTCAAGCACCCAAATACACCCAACTGCCCTGCATACCAGCTCACGGTGTGCGTGGATTTCTTCCAGCACCAACACACGATCCTTGTGTTGTGCCACATCCGCCTTCACTCCCACCAGCTCCTCCACATGCCCCCTCAGCTCGTGCAGAACCAGTCTTCCCTTCCCCCAGCCTCCTCCACCCTTTTCCTGGTTGCTGCCAGCTCAGTGGCGAGTGCTGTCACTTTCATCTCCATGGCATCTTGCCTCTTGTGCCATTCACCGTTCTGCCCTGAACCGGTCTTGACGACTTTACTTGCAAGCTCCCTGTGTGCGAGATGGGAATACACGGAGAACACCAGGGAATGAAGATCACTTACAACTTAATAGTACACTTCACAAAGAGGTATATTCAAAGCAAAAAAACAAAATCAAAACAAAACAAATGATCTGCAAAAACATGCATGTATTGAGTCGAGAGCTTCCGCTATACAAGTCCGGAAGGATGTACGGCTGTAAGGCTGTAGTGGTGAGGAGCGAAACATGCACAGCGACCAAGAGAATGAGACTAAGATGGTTGTGGGGTACGCATAGAGGAAGGCAGTCGGACATGAAGAGGGAGGAGCTACGGAGGACGAAGGCCATGAGCAGCCCGTTGACTGTCCCATCCTCTTCAAACGAGCGAGCCATGGAGGGCTCAGCTGGACTCCTCGTAGCAGGAGGGCGGAACCTGCGACACAGGGGAGGCGGTGGTGGGGAGGTAGCGAGAGAGAGGAACAAGTGGGTCTATTGAACCGGGCGAGAGAGTAGGCCAAACGACCAATAGATACAAGTAAGAAGCGAGAGATTGGGCGACAGGGGAGAAAGGAATTGGTGGAGAGGAGGAAGGGGCGACACGATACTCATGGAGGTGAAAGCGAAAGGATTGTGATGCGCGTTTTGGGTGTTCAATATTCTTAACGAGATGCGATGACCTGGGTACTTCTTGCAAGGCATCGCAGATTGAAGATCTGTAATTATGAAGGAAGGACCTGTAGAACTCATGCATTGTACCATGAGTGCCAGGTACGGATTCAGTATGAGGGTGTACGGCAAAAATGGGATAGAAAGAGAGTCTGAGCCTGAGACTCAGGAACAGGTAGGGCATACACAACGACAGAAGAGAGTAAGGAAAACGGTTACGTGCGACTTGGGGGGAGATGCGAGTCTTACTGATTGGGCTTGACTACACTCGAGGCGGCATACGGCGTGATGTCGCAAGTCGATTGGAATTCAAATAGGAGGAGCAATAGGAGGTGCGGAGAAAGGAGTAGGAATGGGAAGGACTGAAAATGGAGCGAGTTGTGAGAATGGCGCGTGGGGTGGCCGGATTGAAGCCGGTGGACGAACAGCGGAAGAGTGAAAGCGAGTTCAAAACGAACTTAATCGGAACGTTGTTCGATCGGATGAGGCAAGGGACTCGACGGGTGTTGGGATTTGCATCATACCGTTCGACGCGACTCGCTCGGATCACAAGGCGGGATGAAGGCGTGACGGTTGTCAGTCATTGGCATCTAGATATTGCCTCCTCCTCTTCATCTCGTTTTCGCTAATCTTTCCCCTTTTTGCACCCCATGGACGATCGACTCCATGGCACATTCCGCCTGCCGCATGTGCCTATGGTGTAACTAGGAGGGGGCGGGATGTCGCATGCTTGCTCATTTCCGTTCTTTTTGCAATGACGTGCATCATATCAGCAAACGTGAACAAGGTGTGGGATGCAGGATAGGGACGGTGTAAGGGGGTGAGCGATGAAACTGAGGAACAAATTCGGTCCCATACAAATTCGAACAACAATGGGTTTTTAATTTGTATTTTTGGCACTAAATCAATTAAAATGGTCACCGTTAAGGTTGTGCAACAGACGTTTTTGCGCGGTTCGTGCCGAAAATCAGTATGAAGGTGCCTTAGAGAACGGGCCTTGTGAATATGCAAAGATATTGCTATGGTCTCTTACAAATTTCCGCAACTGTGGGTTTTCAATAGGTATATTTGGCAATAAATTGATAAAAATGGTAAACGTTTAGGTTTTGTAACATTCGTTTGTGCGAGGAATCACCGCTCACCGCCTCCCTACTCACTTTCTTTCCGCCGTATAACCCAACGTTTTCTGCACATTTCCTCGAACAATGAGTAGACGCTCCATGCCATCCATGGCCATCTGTCCACCCCTGGCCTACTGTCATCGTGTTAAGACCTCATCCCTCTCTGTTTCCCCCCTGCATTTCTCCCCTTCTACCACTGTCCATCTTTGCCTCCCCCCTATCTCTCTGTGAGTCCCTCTTTGTCTCCCCACTGCACCACAACCCTCTCCTTCAGTCCATTTGTCTTCCCCCTTCTCCGGCTTTAGTGACAACCTGATAGTCGATAGACACACGCACCTCAGTACATGCATGCTCAGACTGAAACCTGCGGAAGTTGATGTAGACACAAAAGAAAAATGCATGTCACACATAAAAGTACATCATGTCGTGCAATATACGGCAAACAATCCAGAAACATGCAGAATGAGGGTGGGCATGTCACAAGCGACGTGGGGCAGGAAACGTCTGGCAATTAGGTGAGAGCCGTTGTGGAAGTCAAGGATGGGGTCATATCCTACCAAACGTCATACTTTCTCCTTCTTTGTGTGATGAGATGCGCCTATGTTGTGATGGTAGTCTTGTAGGCCGACGGCATGGGTGGGAAAAACAGTGTGAGTTGGTAAATCAAAGGGGAGGGTGGGGAGGGTGTTTGTTGTGTACCTTTGGCCAAACACTCGTGAAGAATTGCCACACGCATATCCTGTTACAAACCAGAATTGTCATCCAACTTTCCCCACACCGGCTCATCCTTCTTCCCCTCTAGCAGCCCCTATTCCACTCCCCCTCTCAATATTGCCGCATCACTCACAGTACAGATATATGTCTCGGGCGTTTGCGAGGAGCACGCACACTTGTCTTTGCCCCTGCCGCATCATCTAAGATTGGTGATGTCCCCTAAAAATAAGGTGGAAATGAAACATTAGAACAAAGGCACAATTTATCTTAGACAATAAAAATATCCATACGCCACCAGCAAGGATGTGCGTGTTGATTTGGTACATACGGAAAAGCGGCCTGCATGCGGAGGCCCGATGGAAATTGGATCTCATCCTCCATCGTCGATCGGCCCAGCTGGTTGGCGTGAGGTCACCAGTCGAAGTAAAGGTGAATGTGGCGGTGGGGGGGAGGGGGGGGGGGGGGGGGGTGGCTGGTGTGGTCACGTCATTTGTGGGGGTGATCCTTGCTAGAGGAGTGGAAGGTGGTTGTAGCTGTGACAGGTCGGGAGGGGATGGATGAGCTGGTGGGGCTGCGTGAGCGGGCACCGGCGTAGGAGGGGCGGCATAATCTGGAACCTGGTTCGGCTGTTCATCATTATCCTGTCTCTGCGCCGGAGGGATTACATCCTCAGGCTCCAACCTTACATCTCGCCATTTGGACATAAGCTTGTCCAACCAGCTCCAGTCCATGGCTTCTAAAATTCGCTCCTTGTTGTCACGCCGTACCCTGGTCGTCTTTCGGACGCGAGTCTTGATGACGCGGACCAAGCGTGACACAGTCGGGTTCTAGTGCAAGACCGAAAGGCCGGCTCTTGCCACCATACTCCCCTGAAATCCTAAACGCTTTGGGGCGTACTTGATCGCAAGGGAGTGGAAAGATTCATTACAGTAACCCAGTTACTCGCCCTCATCACATAAGCCTCTATTTCTTTCGGACTGCAATGTTCAGCCAACCATTTTTTGAGTGCCAAATGGGCCGCACAGCCTCGCTCATAAGCGGCACTCTCCGGTCCCCATCTCTCTGCCACACACCTGGGCCCATGCCCACAATTGCTGTAGTCCCCTGCCCAATGGCCTGCTAGTTCCTGCGCAACCCGTTTGGCTGAAGGTCTTCGTCCCTCCTTTGCCATCGTAGCACACTTCAACATGACATGGTTGAAGTGTGTACCCCACTTTTGAGCCAGTGTCACTTCCGTGTACTCTGCGTCATAACCTTCCGCTTCGCCACCCAGCTTCCGCTTCCTACTCCCCCTCTCTGTCCAACGCCCTTTGTTGGATAGCCCGTCTTGAGGGAGTTGGTCCACGGGGATGGCATGCGTCTCCTCCAACTCTGCCAACATGGACCGGAAATAAGTGGAAGAGTAAGTTGTACTTTTCTCAGCCCCTTAGCTTCTCTCCCACTCACCAATCCACCTCATGAAGAGTTTCATCCCCCAAACCTCGCATCCACTCATCCGTCAATTGCATGACATGTTTCGGCCACCATGCCGCTTTCCCACACACCCATCCACGCATTCACTTACCAATCCATATCATAATGAGTTTCAACCCTCATGCCTCTCTCCCACTCACCCATCCATTGCATGGCATATTTCAGCCCCCAGACCTCTCAATCACTCACCAATCCATCTCACAATGAGTTTCAACCCTCATGCCTCTCTCCCACTCACCCATCCATTCCATAACATGTTTAGGCCACCAAACCACGGATTCACTTACAAATCCATCTCATAATGAGTTCCAATCCTCATGCCTCTCTCCCACTCACCCATCCATTGCATGACATGTTTCAGCCCCAATGCCTCTTTATCCCTCACCCATCCATCGCATGATAAGTTTCAACCCCCAATCCTCGTATTCACTCACCAATACATGTCATGATGAGTTTCAGCCTCCTCTCACCTTCGACATCGCAATCTCCAACTTCAATAGCCCCGTCCATCACCTCTCCAACTTCAATAGCTCCCTCGGTCTCCTCTCCAACTTCAGTTCCCCCATCTAACGGCTCTCCAACGTCGGTAGCCCCCTCCATAGTCTCTCGACTCATCAATGTCTCGGTTGTAATCCGCACGTAGTCGGCTACCCCTGCCATCGGAACACCACGTGTTGGATGTGCGTCAAATCCCCATAGCTGTTGCACATCCCGGCACTGAACATCGATGACATCATGTGGTGCCCCTGTAGCCTCAGCGTCGTCCTTATCCTCCGCAGCTGCATGAGCAACTGTAAGCCCAGATTGCCCAACCCCATCCTCCGTTGTTTTTCGGCGCTTGGCTAAGCTAGCTGGACACCGCCCCAGCGTCTCCTTCATCAGTAGGACCTTGCGCAAATCCGGGTAAAGCCACACAGACGTTGGAACTGCTTTTGGGTCGTTTTTAAAGGTGTTTAGCCGCGCACATACTAATTCAATGAGGGCGGGCTTTGGTGAATTCACATTCAGGTCCCCGTCCCCTCCGCCATTTTTCTCCAACCATGCCCAGAGGGTCGCTCTAGTACACAACCAAAGGTCCCCTGTGCACGTAGCATTTGC